GTAAAGCTAGGGCTGGGGAGATGGCTCAGTAGAATAAGTGCTTCCCTGGCAAGCGCAAGGGCCTGAGTTCAATCCCTGCTTCTACCAAAAAAATCAAAAAAATCAAAAATCAAAAATAAAAAAATAAAAAGTATAGCCATATTAATATGCTGAGCTGTAAAAGGCTCAAGTCAACAACTTCTGACACTGCTAATTCTATGGATAACTCACTAGTATTATGGACTACTGGACTATATTGGATTATTTTGCTGAATTCACATACCTAGAATATTTAAATGACAATGGAATACCCATCTCTGGCAAAACCAAACAAAAAGAAGGGGATACAAATGAAGGACCATTTTGTATCTGTATATAAAAAATAGTTAAGATAGATATACAGCTACTTTCTTTTAATGAGAAGAAATATTTGTACTAATAGTGTTTGGACAGGATATCATGTCTGTGTCTTGTACTATGAATAACCACTGCAAAGACAACAATATGCAATATATTAGTTATTGAAACTGTCCTACTAATTGGTTTTGAAACTGTGTTACTGCTATTTGTTCCTCAATAAAATTAATTTAAAAAATTGGAAAGATACGTTGATATTTTCTCCACATTTATACATTTCTGTAGATCTGTTATTTCCATCAAATTCTAGCACTTGTTGTTTCTTCTGTCCTTAACTTATATGAAGCATATATTGACATTTATATTGAATTCTCTTGAGTCAAACTCCATTTTCTAGATCTTAGAAACTAAAGTATGATGCAGCAATAGCTCAGTGGTTATATTTAAATTAAACTTTAAATGCTTTAAAGTTATAAATATAGTAAAGCTTATAAGATAAAATATGTATATGAAATAATTAGGTCTCTATCTCGAATTTTACTTCCTAGGAGTTAATATTCCTAACAGTTTGTTATGCATTCTTTTCAGCATTTCATTACCTAAAGAGAAATCCTAATAAATACCCATCTTTTTCTTTGTTATTTTATTTTATTTTACTTCAGCTTTGTATTCTAATGTGAGCTTAACTACATGTTTCTGTAATTTGTTGAACTGAAAAGTTGTCGTAGACATATTTATTAATGCTTTAGGAGAACAATGCAGATAAAGAGCAACACTTCTATTATGTTCCTTTGGAGAAATTTTCTGAAACTATTAAATTTAGTGAGAAAATATAAAAGAATTAACATACTGTGTTTTAGGCAGCATTAGTGAATCTAAATATTACTTCCACAAAGACTCTAAAATGTAGTTCTAAGATCATTCCTTTTTTTTTTTTAATAAATATATGCTAAAGTCGTTTTGTATGTCACTCTGTGTCTCTGAAAGCCCCCGAGGAGTTCCACGCATAGGTAAAAATTATGTTAAGGTCTGTCTTCTCAGTCCTAGCCTGATGTGCTGTGGCTTATAAAAGTCTCAGAGAAACAATACTGTGTTTTAGGCATGCAAAGGCGGAGACGCCTGGGCAGCTCTGCTGATCCATTCAGCCGTCCCTTAGTAGAGCAGAGTTAGCAGCGTCCTAGACCCTCCAGGGGGTGTTAAACAGCACTTCTAATTACCTCCTTAAATATTTGTACTGACATAATAGAACGCAGATGTGGCTACTTGGCAAAATGTGCGTTTTGTTTGTAATGCATTATGAAATTAAATCTAGCCAGATGTACCCCAAACACACAAGAACGAGGTGGTTTTGCTTTCTTCTTATATCTTCTGGGCTTACATTATCTTTCCATAACCCGAGGTCTGTAACAAGGAAGGAAACACCAAGTGCAATTTAGATGATCTGGTCATTTAGGACCCTGCCGAAACGCTGGCTTTCTGCAAGCTTCAACTTTTATTACTCGGCTTCACGTAGAATGAAGTAAAGATGGTGGGTGGTTTTTGCAGAAGAAATCTTATTTGAAAATTTTCTAATGACCGATATGGGCTGGTCTCCTAATTATTAAAACTGGAATTTAAATGAAGCACACAATCATAATGATCAGTGTTATTATATAATTAGTACAAATGATGTTTAAACAGTTTTTGAAAATATTTCAGTTCATTTTAGTCCCTCATACTAATGTTAGAAATAATGACATTAGGAATGACAGTAGTTTGGAAGTCCTGTGTTGCAGTAATTGCCATACCTAAATGTAGAACATGTTTTTGGTTTGTTTCTAATATATTATGAGCAGATGATTAATACTTGGCATTCCATTTATTCTTCGCACTGATTTTCAACCTTCTTTTCCTCTTTGGTAAATTAACATACATCTAGAGGAGCTTTACTTTTTTTATCTCCTCAAACATTCCTGCAGGAACTACCCTAATAACTGGTGAGCTTCATGGTCTCAGACTTCCTGTGCAGATCACAGCCTCTACTTCTGGGCTTTCAGAACCACATCTGTGCCTCACTCCCAACACACACCATCTTCCCTAATTTGTACTGTTGGACACAGGTTCTGCTAACCTTCAACAAGGTTTTTTTTTTTTTTTTTTCTTCCTACTCTTTCAACTTCTTAAGCAGTCCTCACCTGTTTTCCACGCCTTTAGTGAAGTAAGGGGCTTGCTTGTAGTTATGGAGTCCTGTTAGATCCAGGACAAATCTATCTTAACTTTTCTGCTAGTTACATGATGTAATTCTTCATTACTCAATTTTCTTATTTCTAAAAGATAGCTCTATAAGGTTACTGGGATGTTTTTGGAAGTAAAATCACACTGCCCTTGGCAGATGGCACTTGATAAATTTTGAGTAGTCACGGACAAATGATCCATAGTCTTTAAGTAAATATATTTTTAGAATTAAGAATTGTATGGGTTTATAAGTGTAAGAGTATGCTCTATACATCACTTATTTTTTCAACATGATGTGACTCAGCACTCTTTAACAAATTGATGACTCTCCAAGCCAATAATTTCCTGTGAATTTTTATGAAGAAATGTTAGCCTTTTATCATTTCAGGACAGGTAGTGCTATCAAATGATATATGAAACAATTCATGATTAAGGCTTTTGAGTGTCAGAACTGTAGATAGAAGGTTGGAGATCTAGCAAATAAGAAGGGATTTTTCATTTTGTCATTGGAGGCTGCAATTTATCCTCTTCTTTGGACACTCTGGCTGTTTCCTCAATTTCTTGCATAGGAGGCCACAGACTTACTTCCGGTTCCCGCGCTCGAGCTCCTCCAGTCCCTCAACTGGAGGTGGAACACTGATGGGCTTTGAGCAGGCTCTTTATCTCGCCTAGCTGTGAACTGTATACACTAGCGGCTGGAGAGCAAAGGGCAGAAATGTTTAGTTTTTATTTCTTTCTCTCAGAAGGAAGCTTGTTTTTCATGTTTTGACTTCAAAGATGTTTTAGCAGGATTTGTGGATAAATTAACATCCTTGCAATTTTACTTTTTTTTGTTTTCTGTAAATATGTATGAGTTTCTAAAGAAATATAATTATCTTATTGACTGGTGAATGTTGCCTTTTTCTTTTACAAATGAAGATCTCTACATATTTTAGTCTGCTTTTTCCTATTATTATTGAAGTGGGGCACTTGTCAATAATTATTGATTTGTTATGAGAATAAAAATTGTAATGTAATCAGTCTATTAATACATAATTATTAACCAGAATTGATTCTAGCATGTGTGTTTCTTTCAGTGCCCTTCTGCAACCAAAGCAACATTTGGGGTCCATCTTAAAATAGTAGGAGACTGGACAGGTATGTAATACATAAAATTTTAACATCCATGTTTTGAAAGAAATAGGCAGAACAGGAATTTGTATGTGTTTGGACAATGACACTGCTACATTTGTGGAGATCTGTGTGTGCTCTAAAATGTTATTTTTTTTCTTTCCCTGTACAGTTTTGACATCTAAGTTTTTCTTGTAAGATGCATTTTTGGAATCAGAATACCTTGGATATTAGTAATTACTGACAATGTATTATTTAATGTGTTTACAAATTGCAGGTTTCTCCCTGCTTGTCATATGTACTGGCAATACTGGGACCGCTGAGAAGAATTTCTTTAAGAACATTTAAAAATTCATGGGTGAGGGCTGGCCAAATAGCTCAGAAGATTAAAGTGCCTGCAAGCAGGCTCAGGGACTGGGGGTTCCATCCCTGGGCCTGCCATGCTGGCCCCGCCCCTGAGGCACGCTGAAGTGGCAATTGAGACTGGGCGTGCTTGTGCATGCCTGTAATCCCAGCCCCAGCTCTTGGGAGGCTGTAAACAGGAGAATCACTACGAGTTTGATCTAGCAGTGAGTCCCTGTAGATCCTTCCCTAAAATACAAAAGTAAAATTCACAGGTGGCTGGACTCCTGTAGTCAACACTTGAGATGAGATTGTACTCTGCTTGCAGCTTGGGAATGACCTTTGGTGTGCTGTATTTGTACAGAGGGGGACTGCTGCATACTTGGGAGCCTGGTCACTTTCACAGCAGGGCTATTTGGTGATACTTCAGTCATCTGTTCATGAAATACACTGCATTATCTGAAAAATGTTGTATATTGAGTTCTGAGTAAAAGTTAAATATAAAATAAAATAAATATTTTTTTCTTTTTTTGCGGAACCGAGGATTGAACTCAGTCCCTTGCGCTTGCCAGGGAAGCACTTACTGCACTGAGCCATCTCCCTGGCCCCTTAAAATAAATATTATTATAAATAAAATATTATTCATTCTTATCATGCCTTGACCCACTACAGTGGCTGATAGTCAGTAAACATTGGATGTTTGGTTGGTTGCTTAGGTTATTGGAAGAAATAAAAGTATTTAAATACTTTTGGTAATTAAGTGCTAAACAAGGAATTGCCTTATAAAATCTACAGGCATTCAGAAAAAAAGTGTAGTTAGACCCTCGCAAGTAGCTTTACACAGAAGATAGGGTATAAGCTGAACCTTAGCAATCAGGAAAATGAAGAAAGATACAGGCAAGAAAATGAAATTCAGGATTGTCAACTATCAGTGAAAGCAACGAATAACCATATTTGTGAAGACTGTGACAACGCATCTATTGTAAAATTTTTTTTAAAAAGCAAAGTCAAACCAATAGTCAACAAAAGCAAAGGTACTGTTCTGGCAAGTAATATACAAAAGTCATTTAGGGTCATTCTAGTGAAGTTTACGATTGTATCCACAAGATGTATGAATAGCCTGGATTATCCATGGGGTATTCGAAGTATTTGAAGCACTGTGAGGAAAACGTTATTAGCAAGTTCCTAAAGTAGTGAGATGGGTTAGAATCAAGGAAGACTTGCAGGTTATTGATGGCACATAGTCAGAAAGGGAAGCAGTCGGAAGTTGGAAGGAGTACATTTGTGAGCACAAGTTAAGAAGTTAACATTGGCACAAAGATCTAATTGATCTAAAAATTAGAGAAGGGTGAAAGGGTAAGTGTTGTGGTTTGAGTCTAGTTGTCTCCCCAAAGCCTCATGCAATCATGGGGGGGGCCTTCTGGAGTTTGTGATAGATTATTGTGGGTGTGGGTGCAGCACCTGCCCTGTTGCAGGTAGTTTGCATTACAGTGGTAGGAGGGGAGAGGGGCTGGCTAGCTGCCTGAGCTAGTGTTCCTCCCTTTTGCTCTCTTGCTCTTTGCCACTGCCCTGAGAGTTTGCCCTCTGCCATGTGTCGCTCTGCCTTGGAGCCAGCTGAGTGTGGGCTGAAACCTCCAGTAACTGTGAGCTAAATAACCCTTTCCTAAACCTTTCCTTCCTTCATTTGGAGTGTCAAGTATTTGTCCCAGCAATGAGAGGAGAGTAACTGAGACAGTAAGTAATAAAGAAGTAGTATTTGGGGATGAGAAGAAAGCTCGTTGCTATAAGAAAATCATATCATACACTAGAAGAATAATAATGTGCATAGAACTCTCAATATTTAGCTGGGTATGGCACTGTACACCTGTAAGTCCAACACAGAGGTGAAGAAGACAGATGTGAGGTCCAGGCCAGCCTAGGCTGCAGAGCAAGAACCTTTCTCAGAATAAAATTTTTAATAGTAAAAAGTGTCTACATTGAAATCCCTATCAAACTACCAACAACATGCTTCACAGACCTAGAGAAATCATTCCTAAAATTTATTTCAAACCAGAAAAGACCTAAAATAGCAAAGACAATCCTGGACAATAAAGACAAGGCAGGAGGCATTACAATTCCTGACTTGAAATTATATTACAAGGCTACTGTGATAAAATCAGCATGGTACTGGCATCAAAATAGACCTGAGGATCAATGGAATAGATTAGAACATGCT